GACTATGGGTATTTTTGTGTCCCAGTCGCCAACTCGATAATGAGAGTTTATATGTGCTCGTTTTTAATCATGTTTGTCATTGCATTCTACATGTTTTTAATGACGAAATAAAAATGATATATCAGTGGCAGATCCAGAAATTTGAAATAGAGTTTACAGCTTGAACAAATAAAATGTAACTGAGAGAATAAAATGATTAGAAATGTGAAGGGCAGAAACCTATCGATTGGCAGAAATATAATAGTAAATTCGTTGTTAGCGTCTAAACTAGCCTATATTGTATCAACTATTGTCCTACCTGTAGAATTCGTTAAACGGTTAAACACAATCTTTTTCAAATTTATTTGGGATAGATCTGAGAGTGTTAAGAATGGTATAACAATTGCTTATTACGAATTTGGTGGATTGTTTCATCTTCGCTTCTTTTTAAATTCTATTTGTCGTAGATTAAGAAACTTTCAAAAAATGGGAAGGTCATATGGAAAAACATTGTGCTTTACAACCGTAACAAAACGTGTGTGGGCCTAAACGTATTTAAATGTAACGCCTCATTGACGGATATTAATAAATACTGTCAGAATAAGAATAACTAAATGACAACTTTCTACGCCAATTTAACCCGAACATGGTTTAAATCTAATAAATGCGTTAGCAAAGAAAAAGTAATCAATCCAATTAACGAAATCATTTGGAACAATAAAAAAACATAACTCATAATAGAAAAACTTTTTCCGATACTGTATTTATTTGTGTTATATGTGTTTAAAAACCGAATACGGTAATTATGCAGTACTCCATTCACAATAGCGTCCCAAATATTTGGAAGAAAACCTTTAATTGGAATGGTAACTTTGAATCCCAAAAATATTTTAACAAATATTTAGTCGATAAATGCTCACCGAGACTTTTTAGAGAACATTTGGATACACAAATCTAGAAGGTAGAAGTTGTAAGGATTCTTCATATCTTGTACATGGGCCTAAATTTAAAATTGTTACTGATCATCGTGCTCGGTTTTAGTTGATCGAAAACAACCAACTAGTCGAATAGCTCGCTGGACATTATTTTTACAAGCTTATGACTTTGAGATAGTTCATAAGGCAGGCATCTCAATTAAGAACGCCGATACGCTAGGTTACTCATAAAAACGTCGCAGGTATTACCTGATAACACTGTCATAGCTGTATTGAATCTAATAATACTTCATGTATAGATAAATAGTAATGCTATTGAAAATACTTTCATCGAAGTGGGTTCCATCTTAATTACTCTTCAAATTCAACGAATTATCCGTGGGAAGTTCGTTAAGTCCTCTGGACGTTGGTTACCGTTCATTACGCCTGAATGACTTCATAATCTTAATGGTTTAGAAGAAGCTTTCTGGAAGAGACATTTTAAAACCTAATAATTTACCATCAAAATGTACTAAAAACACAAAAAGCTCACATTATATTAGTTATCGAACACACATTTTATTATCAGCTAACATTTACAAAGAAAAATTAAGATACAACTTCCTATTAATTGTGTTAGAAATTGGGATTAATGGCTTGTCAGTGGAGAAAATTGAACTTATTTTGTGTCGCCAATAGCAACGGAGTAGTATCTTTTCAGTGGTACCGTGAAGTAACTCTGTAGTACTCTATATCATGTGAATTATCTTTATGATAATAAAGCCTGCAAGAGGAACCAGAATTGTGAAATGTTATGGATTCAATTACTCCTATTTTAATATGCAATTTTATAGAATAGATTTGATTGTGATATAATGAAGAGAATGTTTGCCGTTCAATGTGTAATTAAATTATATGAATAAAAACGTTAAATAGGTTACAGGCTTATATTTAGATCTAATGTGTTCTTAAAAGAGGATCGGTTCAACATAAATCACAAATTAGAATAAAATGGTATTTGTCAACGTCCAGAAATGATAAACCAAAGATTATTCACATAGAAATAATGTAATATTCCATCTTCTTGTTAAAGAGTTAGAAGGTGTTGAACAGGTAAGACTTGCCTACCTATATATCTATCAATTACAATGTTAACCAAGTAATGTAGAACTTGGTAATAACATAGGATTAGGAGTTACTGATGATTCGCACTTTAGAGAGCGTAAATTTCGTATTATATGCAAGGTATAAGAAGTCAATATAATTATGGTATTCATTTTTGTAACTTTATATTAATTGTTCTTACTATTGTATATATTCTTTTGTAGATGTTAATTGGTACACCTCAACTGCTCAAGTTCAGGCTACGTAAATGAATCATCTCAGTGATGGGGCCTGTATAATAATTTATAACACATAATTTGTCTGCATCAGCCTGTGGATAAATTAAGCAAATAAGTACCGGTACCGGCATATAAACACTTTGGTGGAAAATTTTACACGTTTTTACCCAAAAATCGTAATTTGAAACTAGTACGTCACTGAAAGCTAGTAATATTATCTATCAAATGATGTGTATAATTATACATTGTGTTAATTATGTTACCAAAGATTTACAAAAAAAACCCATATTTTTATTACTTTTTTGGCTAAATTTATTAATACATATTTTATTAAACAAATACGAAATAATACTAAGCTAACATATTTTTTATATGATACTTTCTCAAAATCTGACCATATACAAAATAAATACCAATAAAAAATTCAGATATTATCCATTTTGTATTTCAGAGTTATAATATGTTATAATATTTTTGCAAGGCCATCCCTTGCAAAAATGTCACATTTTAAACTGTTTTTACCCCAAAATGGTATTTTGAAGCTAGTGCGTTACTAAAAGATTTATTCTAAATATATTTGGTATCATACAATATCACAATAGTTATAAAAATTATCTATCAAATAATGTGTATGGTGACACATTAATATAATGCTGTGACCAAAAAAATAACAGAAAAAATTTGTTTATGACTTTTTGATTATATTTAATAATACATGTTATATTTATGGGTAACACAATTTACATAATGTTTCATCATACACTTGTAGCAACGACCCATTTCGTGTGAATTGGGAGCTGTGATAAGAATTCATCTTGTTGCCAGCTTGTAAAAAATTATGCCTACGAAAATAATGTTGTGAGCACATTCAATGATGGTCACCCGTTTAACTACCTTATCTCACCCAGAAAAAAACTTAAACTTAAAAGTTTCAAAAAGTAATTACTAAGACATTTTATGAATAGTTCACCAATGTTAAACATATCTTATACTGTTTCTTTTGAGCAAATTAACATTGGAATTGACTATTTATATATTTACAGTAAGTTATTAGTTTTTCAATTATAAAAAAAATAATACATTTGTAAACCATTTTTTAATCTGTCTCTCATTAAGCCTTGATCAGACTACATATGGAAACGTTTTTGCCACTTTTTATCATTTGCTAGTCCAGCTATCACGAAAGCAGCGAACTGAGGTCAAATCAACCCCGCTGTACAAGTAGTTTGGATCAACCAATTAAAATCATTTGGTTTGTTTCATTTTCATTATGGGGTTTAAACCAACAAAATTCAATTTGCACAGTCAATATTCTTTTGTTAAATACTGTTAAATAGTTAACAGTACACATAGTACAATGTAAAGTATACTAATGTTGAGATCTCTCTTCCCCTAGTCCAGTTTTCGTGTTGGCGGGATTGGCTTAGCCCTACGTTACACCCCTACGGAAATTTTCAAACGGTCCAGACTATAAATTGCATTTTTTTGCAGAAGTATAGCCTAATTGCTGCAAGTATCTTGTCTTGGGACATTTGCTTTTTAATAAAGGTAATAAAAGCACACAAAAAATCCAACTGATAACTAAATTAGGCCAAATTACACGAAGAAAGAAGTCAAACATTGCGAACACAAGTCAAGCAAACAAAAGTATGACGTCATACCAGTGAATCGGACTATCACGCTTGAGAGATTTTTTTGACCCCATGAGAGACAATCGTGGATTGGATGGATTTTATATTTTCTTATTTTCCGATAAAACTACCCAACCAATCATACTAAGTTTTATATCAGCTTCAAGCTTATTATATTCCCTCCACGAACCCACTTGGGCCAATTCGAACAAAGCAATAGTCTGCGAGTGAGGGAGTAAGAAACGAGCTCGGAACAGCCAAACACCTCAAATTTCTTAAAATTTCCTATCTAAATCGGCGTGAGGAGCTGTTATAAATCGGAGTATTCCGACAAAACTATAGGGATTTTTTTCATTTTTCCTTCACGAAATGGTAGATTAATATTTTTTACAACATAATCCGCTTGGGCCATTACAAGAAAATCATAGATTTTGTACCAAAAATGTACTTTTGTGAAAAAAATCCAGTTTTCTCCAAAGGTTAAGGCGACCTTGGAGAGCAAATGATACAACGTTTCCAAATGCAAATTTTTATTATTACAAAAAAAACTGTTGTATGCCCATATAATATGGTCATGATGTGCTTTTATATGGTCATGATGTGACGCCATCATGGCTATATTTAGGCATGTCAAATGAGGAAACATCCCCTCCAAATATTACAAACTATTAAGCAAATTATTATGTGGACTTATGTGGGCATTTTAAAGCTGACTAATGCTAAATTATTATATTGCGCAGGATAACCTGTCATGTTAATGGTACTAAATATTTATGTTGCCACAATGTACTGCACTATATATTTTGGCTCAGGCTACACTATTACATAGCTATTTACATTTCCCTTCTCAACACTCATTTTTGGAGTAAAGCAAGGAGGAGCATTGCTCCATGTCTTACAAACTCATATGAGTAATATTCGAACAGTCGAGCTATCAGACTGGGTTTTGACCACTGGTCAGCACAAGAAGTAGGAACAATACCCTTTGACCAACCACTCAGCCTTGTGCAGTACAACTCTGTATAAACTTTAAATAATAACATTTTATGTGTCAGTGCTATTGCTTTTATGTTTCAAAAAATATTCATTTTAGAATACTTTTGGCCTCCATTTTATTTTATACGGTGGAAAAGTCAGTTAATAGTATTTGGTGATCGTAGTTCTGTTTCAAGCTTGGTCCAGAACAGTCGCTGAGCAGGTTCGTCATTAGGCCATCTGATGTAAGATTTCTTCCTTAGGACTTGTTGCAACTTCAGCGGCATATCCTTTGTAGTAATCCTCTCCAAAAGCACGATGATAAAGAGATTTTCGCTGTTCTCCAACAAACGTATCCTAGCCATCTCGAGCTCAAAGTAACACCACTGACTCCTCAGAAAGTTTTTGGTCAGGATCATGATAGTTTTACGACTGCATCTAATAGCTTGTGCTATGTTGTCGACAATGGAATTTCCTGGCATGAAATCACGGTAGTCAATGCACAGTCGAAAATTGTATGGGTCATTTTCAAGTGTAGGATGTAGCACATCTGAGACCCATTTGCAGTCTTTACTGCTGTAAGAAATGAATGCATCAAAGATGTTACCCTGCATGTTTGGTGGTTCATCAATATCTTCATTTAGCTGTTGGTATTGTTTGCGAAGTTTTCTTCTTTGATGTAAATATCTGATTATCAAGGAAAATTTAATTCAAAAAGTGATTAATAACATCCATTTTACAAACGATTGTTGAAAGTTTGTTTAAATCAGGTAGGGAAATTGTGCCATAAACAAGAATGTGTTGTGGATTATAAAAAAATGAATAATAATGAATGTATATTTATACATGTTAACCCAGTGGTGTACACATTTTTATTGACACATTTTATTATATACTCAAAACAAAAAAACATACAAAAATTACATATATTAAAAACATTAAACCAGATACGAGTACAGGATTAAACTAAAAAAGAACTAGTTTACAAACCAATTATAAAAATAATTATTAATAAGAATTTGAATTTTCTAAGAGCTAAAAAAAATTGGTTTTTTTTAAAATCCAATGATACTAATGAGAGAGCAGCTTAGCTTTGAGAGAGCAGCTTAGCTCAGTCGCCTAATCTGGTGGTAGCCACTGTGTGTGCGCTGAACCGTGGAGATCTCTAGGTGCCCGGTTCAATTCCCATCGCTGCCTCTCCTTGTGTTTCAGCTAGAGGGCTGAAATACAAGTTACATAGCGCACCGTCTTTCGGATGAGACGTTTAAGCCGTTGGTCCCGTGTGAATTTATGGCCCATGTGCACGTTAAAGAACACAGTACACTCTTCGGAAAAGAGTAGGGGATTGTCTCCCGGTGTACTGTCCAATCACCACCAGAAGGACCCCACTGAAAATAAGTCTTCTTCTAGACTTTCGTGGGCTATCCTTGGTTTTTACACCGAATAAATCCTATCCAATCCTTGCCTTTTAAAAATAAAGAGATTTTAAGATTAATTCTGTGTCACAGTAAATTATGAATATCGAGGACTGTTACTAATTTTAAAAAATCACTCTTCTTACCTTAGGTCCCAACGAAAGTAATATAGGACAATTGAAATTATAACCAGTACACTTGCAATTAAAACAACGATGATCACCACATGGGAACTACAGCTAAATGAATCTGGATCTAAATCCAAGAGCAAACGAAGGGATAAGTTTGGTGGACCATTACAGTTCACTTCATCCAAATTGTACACGTATGGTCTGACGTCAGGAGACTGGATCCAGCTAATGAACCATACAAGATCGCAGTTACATTGAAAAGGATTTTCGTAGAAACCGATATATTTTAAATTAGGTAGGTGCTGTAGACCAATTGATTTTGAAACAGTTTTGAAGAGATTGCCGTCAAAATTGAGCTTGATGATGTGACTGGAACCTTGGAAAGAATCATCACCAATGTTGTCGATTCGGTTGTGAGAGCAAATAACATTCAGCAAATTCGGTAGTCCACTGAACACTTTCCTGGGAATTTCAACAATAAAGTTGTAGCTTAAATCAATTTCTTTCAGGTTTAAGCAGTTTTTAAACACATTATCATCCAAGGTTGTGACACTGTTGTCATCAGCATGAAATTCTTCCAAGGATGTCAAGTCCTGAAACCATTCTTTTTTTATGGTTTTCAATTTGTTGTTGTACAAGTAGAGTTTAGTTAAGCGTCTTAATCCTCTGAAAGTTTGGCAAGGGATGTTGTCTGAGGTTAATTGGTTGGCATTTAAGTTAATAAGAGATATATTTTTCATGTTTTTGAAAGCATTTTCATGGAGCTTATTGATGCTATTAGTGTATAGTTGTATTTCTTCAACATGGTTTGATCCAAAGAAAGGTTCACCATCAATTTCTGTGAGACGGTTGCAACATACCTGGATGATCTTTAACTTAGGAAGATGTTGAAATAGGTGACCTGGAATGTCCACCAGATTATTAGAACTCAGATTAATCTCTTCTATATTTGGATTATCAGAAAAAGCGTAATCTTCGATTACCTCAGCACCAATGACCATCAACTTGGCGACTGTAAGCTGAGTAAGCCCCTTGAACCAGTTTCTGCTAATTTTCTGAATAGGAATGATATGGTGGTCGAGGAATTGATATGAAATATTCAACACCTGCAGGCGGCCAAGGCCAGCAAAAGCATTATCATCGATGTAAATCAGTTTGTTTTGGTAGAAGTCGAGAAAGGTCAAATTAGGAGTTGTATTAAAGCTATTGCTACTTAGCACACTGATGCTATTGTCTTGCAGTAGGTACACACTAGAATCTACAGGCAGTTTGTTCTTATCTGGAATGCTGGTAAGATTCCGGTACGAGCAATTTACGAGACCTTGTAAAGTGCAGGAACATACCTCAGGGCATGCAGGCTCTGTAATATTCTGAATATGTCCACCAGATTCTAGTGAGATACAGCTCAGGAAACACAGTGCAGCCATACAAAATAAGTATTGAGAATTTAGGTTTATCCTAGAAGGAAGTGCCATCTTGATTTTATTACTGTATACTGTACTAGAATATATCGTGGTTTCAGTTTATATAATTATAATATAGGCCTACTTCCGTGTACTCAAAATGAAATTTTCATATTCCAGTGATGGCAAATGTGATTCTCTGATCCAAATATAAAAATAAATAACAAAAAATCTATTGTTTTTGTTCTGAATTTTTTTCTTCTTCTATCCCATTTTCTTATATTTTTTGCACAGCCGGGTTTTCTGACCGGTAGTTTAGTCATTTTCTGTGCTTGGATCTTCTTCAAACTTGTCCAAGCAAAGACCATAATATATCAAAGATGATGTGCTTATCAAAAATAACACGTCATTCTGCATAATGTTGAATATTAATGAACGTGAAATAAATGTTCATGTCAACGCAATTTGCGTTTTCTAAAGCCTTTTAAAATAGCTACAGCTATGAAATTACTGGATAATTTTTGCCCTCGACTTATACCATTATACACGGTAGACAACCTAAAAATGCACTGACCTCCATGGGTTCTGGTTCTTTAGCGTAATGGTAAGAACAATATCCCCCTCCCTATTACCACTGCAGCTATAGGTCTAATCTCATTCATATCGAGTTAGGTTTGGAATTTTTTTTCTTCATAATTTTCTTTAATAGTATGATTTTATTTTTGTTTTAATGTATTTTTTTACCTTTATATCACTAGCTGTTGGTATTGTTTGCGAAATTTTCTTCTTTGATGTAAATATCTGATTATTAAAGAAAATTGAATTCATAAAGTGTAATATTTACTTTTTAATGATTTTTAATAATTTATTTATAATTTCAACATCACTTCCCGATGGCAATGAAAAAAGGCCCTATGTTCTGATTTACAGACAGACAGGGTAAAGTCTAGTTACTGTTAATTGTTTATTTGAGCAAAATTTACTTTTCATTTTGTTTTTGCTTTTTTATTTATTACTTCATCACATACACAAATAAACAATATAATAATTACGAAAAACATTTATAGTTTTTGAGTAAGGATCTGCAAAAGTGAAATAAATGACTGTTAAATTGTTTCCAAAAAAGAGTGGATCCAAAATTTTAAAAAACCCAAAACAAATAAAAATTTATAATAGGCCTACCAAAAAGCAATACATAGACTTATAATGGCAATAGAAACAACAGTAGACAAGAGAAAGAAACAAATCCTCACCAAAATGTACTCCTTCCTCTGCCTCCTACTGGGAGTTAGAGAAGTTCCCTTTATTAACAATAAATAAATAATCTTATTAATAAGAAGACACCACAGTTTCTTAATTTTTTATGTTGTTTATTTAAAACACATTATACAACATACAATTTCAGACAAGATTTAGCAGTCTGTTTTTAAAAATGGTCCTAAAATATATAAATGAATATAATAAGAATAAAGTACCTCAAAATTCAAATATCAGTTAATACAATCAATTAACTGATAATACAGCAGTTAATTTCTACAATCAGTTTGAAAATCACAAAATTTAAAAAAAAGAATGAATAAAGACCAAAGGGAATATCAAATACATCTTAAAGATAATTAAAGTGTGTCATTTAAAATCAAATCATTTATTCTTAAGTTACAAGTTAGTAAAATAGAATTTGTTATAATTGAATCTAAAGCTGTTTATATGTGTTGACTGTTGAATACAAGGGTGTATATTATTCCACACTCCACCACCAGCAATTCAAAAACAGTTTGGAATCGGTGGGACAACTATTTAAAAATATTTGAAGGTTTGGTAGAGTATCCGTGTCGATCAAATGTCATTTCTAAGTAATTACATAAGTGTGATGGTGCTATGCCATGTATACATCAATGATAGAATTTAGTGCATAATCAAGTCTTCTCTCAAATTCCTCTTTCCAATTCAAATGTTTAATTTAATCTTCACCACAAGAACTAATATAATTAAAATTATTAATAATACTTCTTGCAGTTCTTGCAGAAGTATATTCATTATTTTAATTATTTTTATTGGACGTATTACCACATACTGGAATTGTGTAATCAATGCAAAGTTGGATTGTGCTTTTGTATAGGGTAATCAATAGAGATTTATTTAGAGTTTCCGCAAATTTCCATAATGTATGGATTTCAAAGCTAACAGACTTATTTATAACTCATATATAACTCATCAACAGGGAAAAGGGGCTACCAGTTTTTAAATATTCAAAAATCTGTGTCTCATCAGCGGCTACCGAGTTTTTCGTCAATGCTTTTTGTGTCTCAGAAAAATCAGTTGTACACAATGAGCAACAGTTTGGACAGTCCCACACAATTTTTCTAATGGGTCCGCAAAGAATGGGTTCATGTTTTTGAAAAATAGGTCCAAATTATGTAATTTCATACATAAAATAGGTCCACTCTTTGAAAAAGGGTTCCACATATAGAGTAAAATTGATAAACTTTTAAGAAAATGGGTCTAGATTTTTCATATTTTTGCCTAAAAAAATGGGTCCACTTTTAAGAAAATGGGTCCACATTATATGAATTTACGTGTAAAGTGGGTCCACCCTGATATTGATGGTTGTACATATCAAAACCTTGTTTCCTCCTGAACCATGCTTTAAATTCTACTTCTGTCACAAATAACATAGCACAGTCTTGTCGTTTGCACATAGGCCTATGCATTGGCGTAATGCAAGGTCTTTAAGATGTTCATGAATTTATCGTCAAACGTCATTAAAGTGTCATTTTCCTTTCTAGTAATATTATTGTTATAAAATTATTTTATCCTACTGAGTAAAAAAGGACATTCACCGTATGTTTGTTCAAAAGTAAAATATTTAACAAGATCCAATTGAGCTCAAATTTACCATGAATGATCTGACTTCGTTCATGTTCTATTGAACATAGTTTCTAGTTTTCTGTATAATTTTAGTAGTTAAGCATCATGGAATCCAAAGCATTAAGAAAACTAAATTTTACGTTCGCCTTGTTTTGCAGATATACCAAGGCTGCCAGAATGAGAGACCTGTGTTTTGCTTTGTACTGCTATAAATTATTATTATTTTTTGTATGTTTATCTTACAGTGAAGATGCCAATAACGCCAAGCTTCTATTTGGTGCCGAAGCTCCTAATAGTGTACGGTAAGTATTGTAACGAAAATTACCACTCCGTTGTGATGTGACCCTATAGTGTTCGAGAAATACAAAGAGATCCAGACACCATATAAAGCCGATCATAAATTGGTTTTATTTGTCTAATGCGTGACCACAAGACGCAGCCCTCTCTCTCGCAAGTCTCCTCCTATCCTATCGGGCGGCCCACGAGACTATTTCGCGGGACCATCCCATAATATGCATGTTGAATATTTGATGAGTATAATCATTAATAAAAGAGTCTGTTGGCTCTTAGATAGAGAATTTGACGTAGTTTGTGATTCTTGTGCTTTCATCCCTTCAATAACGCATTGAAAGTAAACGGAGGACCGTTGCCTTACCCACTGCCGGATCGAAGCTCGGATAGGTTCAAGAACCTTTACTTATATTACAGTATAAAAGAAATTTTATATTACAGTATAAAGAAATTTTTATGCTAAATTATGATACTAACTATAGGGGGCGCATTCACCAATTATGAAAAATGTTTTGAGAATTGTATTTATCGTACAGATCTTCTTTGAAATTAGTCAGTCTATGTTTATACCTTTAATTTCATTGTCAGTTCTTTGTACCTGTTGAGGCTATTCGTTTACATTTACACGCCTTTAATATCTCATTATCAGAGGTTTTTCTAAATAATTATTATCTATTCATTAATGATTGTATGAAATTTGTTCACCAGTAACGTGAAAAGCCGAAGAAAGTACTATTAGGCAAAATTTGGGTCTTCTTCCAATTTTGTATTATTTTCCTTTTTTTTAATTAAATTTATATAATTTATGTGATTTTATACAGTAAATATTATTAGTTTTACTTGTATAGGGCTTGGCCTCCCAGAGTTAGAAACTGTTGGCAATGGTTTCATAGCAATTTTGTTATTTAAAACCACGTGCGTAAACAGATTCTTTAAATTATGAACAGAACGCAACAAGATAATGTTAATGCAGTTAATAGTAAATATACTAATTATCATTATCTCTGAACCAACACCTCGATCAATACCGCTACGAAAACAAATACTTTCTTTTCATGATAGTTATTCTATCAAAAATAATCACTATCTTGGGTCAGTTTTAGCATAATTATTATGAGAATGTGTAATTTGTATATTTTATATTATTATTATTTAGTGTACCTTGAAGAGTATTAAGTACAATTACATTACAAAAAAGCACAGAATTCGAGAGTAATGTGTATGACCCTAGCTATGGTTTCTATAAGTATCATCATGAACTACAGATGGTCTTATAGTTTTGAAGGTGCTGGATAATGAAAATGCACTTATAGCTGCCATCTTCTCGGTCGGACTTTAGTAAGGGTATGTAGTTAAGTCATAGTGCATCAGGAGCTGAGTTGTAGGTTGGTGGTTAAGATGCTTGCCTACCAATACATGGGTTCAATTCCTGTTGTAAAATGTAGCAGGATTTGTTCCTGAATACAAAGAAATTGTTTACACATATACATTCTTAAAAGAGCTAATGTTCCTGTTAAAGGCCTTATTAGTGTTTATTTATCTTATATAAAAAGTTATTATAATAATATGCCTGTTCTGTGTGGCATGGTTATCTTACTGATAAAAAGTTGGGTGCCATTGAAAGGATTCAGAAGCAAGCTCTTAGAATAATTTTGGGACCTGATCGTAGATATGTTGAGGCGTGTGAGATCGCTGGTCTGCCATTTCTGTCAACGAGGAGGGAGCATTTGTTGCTGTCTTTTGGTAAGAAACTTCTTACCTTTGATGTATTTCAAAATATGCTCCCTAAATGTCACCAACTTGGCATAGACATCCGATCCCGCCCTTTGCTTGAATTCCTTTTGGCAGAACCGAGTGATTTAAAAGGTCACCTGATGTTACAATTCTTGTTTTCCTTTTTCCGTATTGTTTTT